GAACCGTGTCCCCTGAATTGGCAGGCGAATTCTTGACCACTGAGCCACCAGGGAAGTCCCATATTACTATGTATAAAACACAGGGAAGTCCCATATTACTGTGTATAAAACACAGTCTTGCTGGCTGACTGGGGCTAGAGCTTTCCCTTGCTGGCTTGATGAAGTCAGCAAACATGTTGAGGGAGCCCATGAGGCAAGTAACTAGGGGTGACCATTAGTTGCTGAGGGCAGACTTCCGCCAACGGCCAGTAAGAAACTGAAGCCCTCAGTTATACAGCTGTAAGGAAACGAATTCTACCAACAACCTGAATGAGTGTTGGAAGCGGATTCTCCTCCAGCTGACCCTGCAGATGAGAATACAGCCTGGCTGCCACCTTGATTGCGGCCCTGGGACCAAAAGCAGAGGACCTAGTTAAGCTGTGCTCTGACTCCTGACCCAAAGACTAGGGAGATAATAAATGTGTTATTTTAAGCCACTAAATTTGGGGTAATTTGTAGTGCAGTATAGAAACCTAGGTAATACTTAAGCTTTTATTCAGCTCATCCTGCTTTTAAACAGGCTAACCATTTTTGCCGCAAAACAGTTGCCTACAGTTTTTTGTTTTACAGGCTTTATTTATGCAACCTCATTTTGGGTCTAGAACACGAGGGTAAAAAAGAATCAGAAAGTTCCACTCCATATCCACCACAGCAACTAGCTTGCATCTCACCTTCTCCCTGATACTAGGCAACAAGTTATTTCACGGGGCATTGGCATGAAATGTCACAGAGAGGTGACAGAACTTGTTAAGAGTCACAAAATGGTTTTACTCCTTTAGATATCCCCCTAGATTCAGAGAATGATACACTTATTTAAAGAAATCTAGAATTAAAAGCCAGAGCTGAAAAAAGACTAGCAAAGTAGATACTGGGACTCACTTGTTTACAGTCTCACGGTAGAAAAACATAATTACAAAGTGGTCTCACGTTTTTGTAAGGAGCAAAATCAAGAGTAACATATAACTGTAGCAAGGTCAATGTTTAAGCTTTTGCAAACTAAAACAACTAGTCATGGTTGCTTAGAATGAATACGGAAAAACCTATGTATAGACAAAATGAGTCAATCCGCAGGAAGGGAAACCACATGTAAGATAGATATGTGTCATACCTTAATGTTTTTCTCTCTGGAAACATTTTTTTTTTTTTTTTCTGTAGTGGGCCTCTCACTGTTGTGGCCTCTCCCGTTGCGGAGCACAGGCTCTGGACGCGCAGGCTCAGCGGCCATGGCTCATGGGCACAGCCGTTCCGCGGCATGTGGGATCTTCCCGGATCAGGGCACGAACCCGTGTCCCCTGCATTGGCAGGTGGACTCTCAACCACTGCGCCACCAGGGAAGCCCTCTCTGGAAACATTTTAATTTTCATTTTGAAAGGTTATAGAAAATCCTAAAGTTTCTGAGTTGTAGACATAGAAAAACTGCAAGAATAACTTTAGAGTTTCTGGAAGGGAAGCAAGTCACTAACCCACAAAAGGCACAATTTGATAAAATAACTTGCATTAAAATAAAACCTTTCAAAGGATATAATGTAATTGTAAACAGATATTTTCTTTAGATAAATATCTTCTATTTGGTTAGCAGGGCAGATTCCTCAAAACAAACAAACAAAAACAAAAACCAACCAAACAAAAAAACCCACAGTTTAATTAGGTTCACTAGTAAAGAACTAGTCTACTTTAATAGAATAATGTGTTTCATTAAAGCTGTTTGAAAAGAATTAAGTTTTCATTTTCCAAAATTGCAGTAGGAAATCAGTTTAAAGGTCAGAGCTTGCTCAATTTTCCACGTAATTCCAAGGCTCCAATTTGCTCTGGAGTAAGATTATTTCGTTACTCATTTAATATTTCTTAAGATCCTTCCCCACCACTGAAGGCTGAATTGCCCAAAGGCTCAGTTCTTGGCTGCCTTCTCTCTACACTCACTCCCCGTAAGAACGTATCCTACTGGGTGGACTTAAATTCCATCTCTATACAATTTTTTCCAACACTAATGAGCTCCAAACTGCCTACTGAACATCTGTCTATTAGTATAAATCTATCTACTTAGGTCTCAGATTTAGCAAGCCTAACACAGAACTCTAGATCTCACCCCAAACCTGTTCCTCCCGCCTTCCCCCAGGAGTTAATTCTTGTCTTGTTCCTCTACTCCCCAGACACATGCAATTCATCAACGAACCCTCTCAGCTCTACCTGTAAAATGTATCCCAAGTCCTACCACTTTAGACACCTCCACCCCCACAGTGTAGTCTGAACTACATCTGCTTTTGCTTAGATGGGGCCAAGCTTCCTACCTAGTCCCCTGGCTTTCTTTCTTGGCCTCCTCCCCATAGACAATTCTCGACCTAGTGGAGAAAGTAATCTATGAATACAAATCAGATCTAATCACTCCTCTGGTTAATGCAAGCTCCCTTCCAGAAGCTACAAAGCATTTGACATTGTCTTATGTACTTTTTATTGTTTTCTCCTCCAGAACGTAAGTTTTATGAGGAAGGGACTTTGTCTCATCCATATCCCCAGGGCCTACAAGCAGTACTCAGCACATTATAACTCAGTAAATATTCATTGAATGAATTAATACATTTTGCTGTAACAGTAAAGATTTTGGTTCTGATGAACATCATGAGGCCCTTACCTGGCTGCAAAAAAAACCCAAAACTTTCAAACAAGGGTTTGATCTTCTCTCAGCATAATTTCAAAGTAGTAACTTAAGACTGTAAAATGTGAGCTGTTACTTTTACCTTTTGTAGTAACCTTGAATGATTATTTTCCTTTCCAATGTGCTAGAAGTGTAAACCACACTTGAATAAAACTTCAAATAAGGGCAAATATGTTTTGTGCTTCATGATTGCTCCACTGTTATAGCTCTCAATACATGGAAATAGCCTTTAATGTGAGGGCTGACAAATGGGCAGAGGAAAGAACATGTGCAAAGGCAAAGTAGGAAATGAAAAAGCAGGATATATATGCCATGATAGCAAATATCTTGGTATGGTTCTAAAATACACTTGAAGGGAGCTAAACTAGATAGTGGTAGAGCACAAAGAGTCTTATCCACATGGCTAAGGGCTCCAAACAGTAGGCAACTGCAATCTCTTTGGCTCCTATCTGCATTTCAGAAAGCTTATTGTAGTGAATATGGAGGATGGCCTGCAGAGGCAGCAACCAACTGGAGGTGCAGAGACCAGTTTAGGAGGCTCCAGAAGTGATCCAGGCAAAGACAGACAGACAGACAAACAAAACCCCAAAAAACTATAGCTATGTTAGGAAGGTATCCATTTGGGCTCCAGGCTGGACTGTGCAGCTTTGAGGCCTTCTTGTGTCTTCTCTACTCCAAGCCAGCCTAAGTGACTGAACTTTGGCAAACTATCACTGGTTTTGCAGATGTTTCTTTCTGAAGATCTTTAGTATTCCATTATTTCTGGAAGTATTCTTCTTACTCCTGACACATTTTTCCTTATCCTTGTAACATTAGCCTGAAATGTTCACTACATGGTGTCAAGTTTAGGAAAACTTCACACGGTCTGAGCTGGTCCAGTAATAATCATGTGGTTCTCTGATGGCAGATGCCATCTCAGGATGGCGTGGCAGCGGTGGGATTAGGCAGGGGCGTGGTGCAGTATTCACGGGTGCTCTGTAACACACAGCCATCTCCCCTTTCGAGACGTGAAAATACTTCTTTCAAAACTCTGTGCCCCTTACTAGACTGCTCAAATTATTCCTGAAGCCAGGAGGCAGGTGATATACATAGTGCCCCAACTCTTGCTGTCTTGCCTTTAAGAAAGCCTACTTCTTTAAATAGAAATCATTGTGAAGAAAGAACTCCAATGCTCAATTTAGAAACATCCAAACCCTTCTCCTAATTATTGGCTTTAAATGATAAGATTGCTGTTATCTTGCAGTTATAGCAAAGTCCTTTTAGTAAGAGAAAGGACTCCTTTCACCACTTCCTTCTGCCTCATCTTGTGCAAAGACTACTACTCTCAAAATCTAAAAAAAGGGAAGCATGACGAGGGATTAGGTGAACATAATATCTATTTTTATTACGAAAACATTAAATTTTGACACATTGCTTCATTGCTTTTTAAAAATCTATTATCTGACTTAAACCTATTCAGCAAAAATGCCAATAAATTATATAAACCATAGTTTGGATCTTTTTAAAACTAGGAACATAATATGTTTTATAATAATCAAACAGTAATACTAGTTCTGAGCTGTATGAGCTGTTAACCTGTAATCTGTTTTAATGTTTAGCTTAAAAATAAAACCAAAACCAAACACATGCTGATACACTGTTGCAGAAGTTTCTCAGAAACACCCTCCTCTGCACTGTGTGCTAATACCCTTCTCCACTGAGGTACAAAATGCAGCCGTATCAAGTGCCAAGGCACTCATTCTAAACTGTCCTATCCTACTCATCTCAGGAGTCACATTGGATGGAGGGCTGATGATATATTATCCCCCAGAATAACGCTATCTTGCCTTTAAGTAAATCCATTCCTTTAACAGGAAATCATTAGCTAAGAACTGCGATACTGAATTTAGAAACAGTGATTCCAACACACATTAAATCAATCGTGTTAGTATTTAAAGTCACAAATTCTGAAAAGTAAAAATAGCAGACAAATACAGAACTTACATAAACAACCAATGAACTAAAGGCAAAGAGCATTGCCACCACATGCCTGAAAATATTATATTTTTGGTGTCTGAAGCTCTCTGCAAATTATATTTTGGGATAGTCCAGTTCAATAAAAGATGTGTGTTCTACATGAAGTCAGAATAACAGGATTATCAACATGGGTGGTGGCTTCATTTTAAAAATGCATCAATAGTTGTATTAGTGAATGTCTGCCACTTGGTTTCTAAATCTTTACTTCCTGTGGAGGCAAACCAAAGCACTGTCTTAGGACTCCGTCTTCAAAGTTACAATGTAACCCCTATCATTCCCAGAGATTATAAAGCTAGATATGACCCTGTTCCTTGCTGTCATCTTCATCTTCATCATCCTCATCATCTTGGTCTCCGGATTCAAGTTCATCCTCTTCTTCAACCTAAAGGGAAAATATATACATTTAACATTGAGGATTTGCTCACTTCACATTCAACACATAATGATATCAACTCTGTTGATACATTCTTTATTCCAGAACTGAAAATAGATTACAGGCCATCTGATTTCCTTGATTTAATGTTCAAGGATCCCTGTCATTTTTAACATGACACGAGATACATAGGTTAACTTGCTGCCAGATGGCTACACCTCTCTACACACAAACCTGAATCAACACGGCAAAAGAGGACGACACATTTGGATAGTGAGAGTCTTGTTACCACAGGAGCAATCAAATCAATTCACTTTCTAGGCTCAGAGCCCCAAAGAGAACAGTTAACAAACGCTGGAAACTGCATCTAATCTGTGTCTTAAGTCAATTCACTGAATACCATAAGAGCGGTGCAGATGATACCACGTTCACGTACCTACAGATCTCTGCCTGTAGTATCGATATATAGGCACAACATTCCCATGTCACAGTACAATATTTAAAAATACATCATAAAGAAACAGAATATAAATCATTTTTGGAAACACTGCAATCTTACTGGATGACCAAGTTCCTTGAGTTTATTCTTTAACGAAAATATTTTCTGATCCTGATCAGCCAACAGCACCAAGAGATCATCTTGTTCTTTTTTAGAATCTGTAATGTCCACCTCAAGCTTGTTTTTCTCATTTTGTAAAATGGCAATGGTACTGTTAGATGAATCCAGCTGCTCTTTAATAGCAGTTCTTTCCTCAGACAGAGCTTTAATTTCATTCTAGGAAAAGAAAGGTGAAAATCACTAATCTAAAATTAGTATTCACTCTCCTAGGGTTTTAACAAATATGTTCTTTCTTTGATAAATTGCTGCACTTGTCTAGTCTGAAGAATTTGGGGTTAGGGGTTGGGGGAACAGGAGGTTTAAAACAGACACACACACACACACACACACACACACACTCATCTAGTAACATGAGAATTTATGTTAGGCTATACATCAAAGATGGTTACTGTAAAAAATAGAGTTTAACAACCAAAAATAGTTTTAATTACCTATTCCTCAAAAAATCCTACCATTTCAGATAATCAGAGGGATAAATAAAGACATAAAACATTTTATAGCAGAAGCCTAGTTAGCATTAGAATTAGAATTCAAGTTTAAAAATAAAATTCTATCCAACTTCACACATACAATTAAATGGAAAAGAAAAATAGCTTCAAGTAAAATCAATGGTTTAAAAATAAAATAATTTGGGCTTCCCTGGTGGCGCAGTGGTTGAGAGTCCACCTGCTGATGCAGGGGACACGGGTTCGTGCCCCGGACCGGGAAGATCCCACATGCCGCGGAGCTGCTGGGCCCGTGAGCCATGGCCGCTGAGCCTGCGCGTCTGGGGCCTGTGCCACGCAACGGGAGAGGCCACAGCAGTGAGAGGCCCGCGTACCGCAAAAAAAAAAAAAATTGACAATCCAAAAGGCAAAATCACACATTATCTTCCTTTTTCCATGTTTTAATTCCTACCTTTTTTTTTTATTACTGTTACCTCATTCCTTTCTTCATGTTATCTATTTTGATTTCTCTGTCACACAAAAGGCTGGCAGGATTTAATATGCCTGTGTTCCTCAGCCTATGGAAAACCTACAGGTGGCTTGTGTATTAGCCAAATCTATATTCCTCGTTTCTTACTGTGATTAAGGATTGATAAGCAAAATTAACTATTTTTTTACTCTTACTAAAATCTATGTTTTTTTGTTTTTTTTTTTTTTTTTGCGGTACGCGGG